TTTTATACATGCTATTTTTTGTATCATTGTTGATCTCATGCCCACTTCTTTTGTTGGGTGTGCTTAGAATAACCTGCTCATTAACAAGGCTCTTCATCTGCCTCACCATGTACGTTGGTGCGTTGAATTCTGCTACGATTTTATTCACGGACCAAGACATTGGCAATACGAATAATACTGTTATCTGATCTTTTCTGTCAGCTGTAGTGGAATTGAACTTCTCCTTTAGCTGCACAATCATTTCTTCGTAAGCCTCTACTTTGCTAATGTCTGCTGTATCTAGGCTAAATATATTTTTTTGCACTCCTCATGTTCCTCGATGAAATTGGAGATAAATTCAACGTTTCCATAAATCCATTAAACTTCTCAACATTGTATGTGCGTTGCAGATCATTTGCTGATGGAACTGACTCCAATGATAGAACCGATGGAAGAAGAAGAAAATAAGTGCAATTTGGAGGTTACAGTTAAAATTTGATAGAATCATCCGGATGACTGTTCTTACCTAGCTCATCTCCGGATTGATGGCCACTCGTTGATGGACCTGGATCATCACTATGCTGCTGTCCACTAGTTGACGGTTGGATATTTACTTCATTTCCATCCGATCGGCACAAATGCTCATCGTTTCATAAATTTTGTGGTTTAATCCCATAGAATATATTTTTTCTACCATCGTTGACGATATGGCCCGTAACTTATTTCGGTTGCATCTCGGATTATTTATATTTGCACATGAAAATATATTTGTTCAGACATGAAAGTAAGAAAAACTTTTTTTCCTTAAAAATGCCCACCTCGCGATGTATGGACGGATTGTAGTAAACATAATTACCTATCTTGAGGCAAAGTTTCACTAAAATCAAACATGGCCATTTTTTATTCAACTTTTAATTTTTAAAATCGATTTTTTTTTCAGCGTAGGTCTCAAGTGGATTTTTTTTTAATATTTTTTTTTTCAAAAACTTGGACAATTTCCTAAAAGTCATACATCTATTTTTGTAGGAGTTGCTTCTTTTGTTTCAAAAAAATCGGCAGAAAAAGTTTGGCCGTTCTCAATTGTTAGTCTAGATAAATTTTGGAAAAACTGAGTATGCAAAAGTGCTTAACTAGTCAAAGTCTACACATCGAGAAAATTTCATTGAAATCTGAGAGGGTTTTGCCAGCTTCGATTCGATTTGGTACAAAATGCGTCATATGTCAAACACATACTTTACAACATCTTCTAGTCAGCGGCGCCGGTGGTGTAGTCATAAGCGTGATAACCTTTCACCCCAGCAGGCCTGGTTTCAATCCCAGTTGGCGCCTGTTCTGAGGCATAACATGATCATGGAAGTAAAGCCGTTGGTCCCCGGTTCATAAGTTGATGGGTCGATAGGTAGGGTCCAGGGGTGGAGAGCTGCCTTCCTGGCGTCGGTAGCATTGGTGCTCAGTGGCAGGCGCGTAGGCAATATGTAATACCGTGACAGTGGGCCCAGCACAGCAAAATAAACGATTTGAGCCCGGGACAGCTGCCTACTGTCAAACTCTGCTACTGGTATAGGCCTTGTCACTGGCCTGCTCAGCACGGAAAACAAGATCGACGGAAAACAAATCAAGAGAAAAAAAACATCGACATTTTCGAATCATGATTATACAAGTTAAATCATATAATGACATTTAAACGAACATTTCATAAAACTAATAATCAAAATGTGTTAGTGAAAACAAACTCGTCTTTTTTAAATATTGATATTTAGTAGCCGCTAGACCTGCTAAAAATACATAATCTTCTATAGGGGTTTTGATCTATTTTCTATCCTACTAAGCACAACCCGCGCTTAACCTCTCTTTTTTGAAAGGGTTTGTACAAAAAATGGGATATTTCTGTCAAAGATGACTTCTAAATTTATTCTATACGTCCCAAGCAACAATTTTTGTTTTATTTAAGTTTTATAGCAGTTGATATAACCAAATTATAAAACCTTCACTGACGACCACATTGCTTTAACAATCTCCTGAGAACTGCAATACAGCCATGTCATGGCCAATTGGCCCAGTTTTAATGCAGTCATTAAAACTTGATATGCGAACTACTTTAGGAGCATAGGATTTATGTCAGTTTTATCACACTCTAGACGTGATTGTTAAAAATGAAAACATAAAACCTCCTCCAGGTCAGAAAGTTTTAACAGCCTTCTAATGACTACCATAAAACTATATTACAACCGCATAAATCGCTCCTGAAGAAGTTGATAAAACATGATACGCAAAACATTTTGACAACTTTGAAGGTTTTAAGTTGGGGTTTTTGGATGATAGTTAATATTGAGAAATATTTTATTGTGGTTTTATTCTTTCGATGTTTGATGTGAAATCATGATCCTTGTCAGTTGGTAATAATGGCTGATATTATTGTACATTGCAAATAAGACGACTTTTTTATAATTTTAAACCAATCTGTATATGCTTCACAGCATGCCGTGCAATATTTATGGTGATTATTATACCAAATAGGAGCATAACTTTAGTGCGCCATATGAATACTAAAATATAGGGATATTTTTAATTTGTCTGCATTAGCACCATGCATTAAAGAGTCATTCAAAGATTATCTATTTAGTACAAAACTGTTACTACTGTTGAGCAATAACCAGTCACATATTATTTAATTATACATAGATGTATGAAAGTGTTTTATTGCCTATCAATTAAAGCGTAATTATTCATACTGTGTGATATTTGTTCATACGGCGACATTTTTTTTCGTTATAACTTGCTACTCCTTAAAAATACCTCAATATAACATATTCTCCTAGATTGGAATTCTATAGCATAACATAAACCTAATGGTTGTATCTTAGCATTTCGTAGTCCAAATTGAGAGCGTTAAGTTATATTTAAGCTATATAACTAGCTTGCTGGTTTTATTCGGTACAGCGAATCAAAACAAAACAAAAACCATGACCACCTGTCAAAAAGTCAACATTCCAAGCGATCCTCCTATTTTCGCTTGTATTATTATTATTATTTAGCTTTATTTAGGAGGCTTTCAGCCTTAGGCTGGTTCGCCTCCAAATTTTCGCTTGTAATCAAGATGTAAGAAATGCTTATTGGATCCACTAAAAGCTTTTTCAATACAAGGTTTAAAGCCGTGATGTCAATACTGGCCATCTCCAAACGGATTTAGTGAAACTGTCGGCGTTGCTTTAAGAAGGGTTCGTGGATCTTTCGGAAGTGTATCGGAAAGCCGCTTGTTCAATATTTTTAACAGCTCCTTCACCGCACTGTGCCTTATGTAGGGATCGTATAACTGTAGTTCCTCCATATTGTTTCATATTGTCGATCGTCTCATCTTCATTGTGTTCAGAAGCACTGAAGGGGTTTTCATTTCACGTATCTGAATAGATTTGTTTTTTATAATGACAAAAAATTTCAGAGTATTTTTTGTTGTAGCAGTATATTTCTTATCTGTGAATCTTAGGCCTCTGATAAAGATGATAGTTGTAATGAAGCTTTAATGAAGGTCTAAGACTGCTTCAAGTTTTATATCGGTCATAAAAAGTGTACCATAAAACATAATTGTATGTTTTGTTTTGGTTTTATTCTTCAGTTATAAGTAGTGATGCAGAACCACCTTACAGCTACCGTTAAAACTATGAAGTCTGAGTTAGTAGTCATAAAACAGTTTTATAGACGACTTGACGGCCTGATTTTATGACAAGCACACAAAACCGTAATACAACCACAGGCTGGAAGGGATGCTATGATAAAACAATGATAAAATAAGAATAAATCTTCCAAGCATTTAGATTGTTACTTGGGGTACCCTTAGATTTGGTAAAGAGTCACAAATTGCTGAGATATTGTTTAAAATCTAATACTGCTTTTTGATTCTAAATTCGTCGTACGAGTTTCAATTCCGTCCGTAGATTTTCTTCGTCCTACGGACAAATGTAGAAAAAGGGATTCGCTAGGAGCGCTTCTTTTGTTTTGAGAACAATGAGCGTTCATGTTCATACAATGAATTCTAATAGGATTTATGTTGTAGCTAATGAACCAATGCATCGGAACAAACCTATTATGGACTTTTCAACGGTGAAATCATTGACATTATCGATGATTTCTGATCGATAGAACGATAGAACGCTAGAAAGTTTTTATACGTTTTGCTCTTTAAATTCTTAATTTCGGCTGTGTAAAAATAAAAACGCATTTTGAGGATGGTGCCACATCTTTTATTCATTTTCTGCAACACTTGATAATTTCATAAAATCACTAAATGTTCCGGTTGTCATGCTTGGCTAATTTGCTTATAATTTTGCACAGAATTGACAAAACATAGTTTTTTTTTTTTTTTGAAGCAGTTGATAGAATAGAATTTAAGCTTGTTATGGATTTGTAACAAAAAGTAGAGTTTAATTCTTGTGATAAACTGTATTTGATTTTGCGTTGCAAAAATGAAGTGAGATGTGCTCGCTGTACATATCGGGCATTAAGTGTAAAAATTCATTGGTGTTGATTAAAATGTCTATAGTAAACTACGATCCTAATCCATCAATTACTTTAAAGAAACATAAATTTCAACAACTGAGTGAAAAGTTATTAACAAATGAGCAGTTGGTGTGTACAGCTGTACATGCCAAGCATGCCGCTTGTCATGAATAAAGATAGCAATCAAAATAGTGATATTTAACGTTTTCCCGGCAAAGCAAGTACCTACCCGTTTTAACTCGCCTGATATTATACCACCACATTTCCTACTGTATACCGTGTTTTATTTTAAAATTATTTTAACTGTAAATATTCTAGTAATGCTATATTTACCTAATATTAGATTAAATTGATTAAATTGGATTGTCATTAACATACCATTATATATGTTCCGATTGAGCCATTTCTTGTCACATGATTGTGAGCTATTATATCATACTAAAATCATCAACAAACAGATAATTTTAAACTGATGAGCTGATCTATTTGAATTAGTTTTATTCGGTTCATCAATTAAATATTTCCAGATATAACGATGGTGCATACTATCCAGAGGCTGACCGGGGTATGCATCGACCGATGAATGTCCCACCTCCTCATTATAGCAGCCAAAATGTCGCGGGTGGTCGTGGTGGAGATCGATTCCGAGAGAGGGCAACAATGGACCGGGAACGTGCTTATCAAGATCAGGTCGATAGTTACGGTGATGAGGAATTTATGTCCACACCCCAACAAATGAAGAGACAGATGCGAGGCGAGTCTATGGGAAGAGATATGGGTCACAATAGAGGGTCGCAAAATTCCCGGAATTCCGATGGCAATTATGTCGCTGGTAATAGGAATAGTATGCAAAAATCTCCTGGTAGCTATTTAGCACGGGGTAACTGATAAATGCATCACGTTATTTTTAGTTTTCTCTTCAGCTGCTGTGAGAGCTCAATCGCTAGACCGGCGCATGTTTCGCCGTGATCCACAGATGGTAGATTTTGACGAAGAAGGTGAACCCGGTAAGACTCCAATCCTGTGCAACAAATATGCTTTGGACGATATGGAAGAGCGAAGCAGTCCTGGAGGGCCACGAGGAATCGGAGGAGGAAGTGACGGTCGAATGCCGATGAATCCTCGCAGTCAATCAATGCCACGTCAGTCACGTTATGGCGACCGTCTGATGCCGGATCGAATGCCCTATTATAATGAGGAAAATGAAATGGCAATGCAAGCAGCACGGAAGCAGCCACTACCGCCACCGGGTAAACGTCGTGATTTGCGTCCTGGTTAGTAGTGTGCTAAGTTAACAGTCGTAAATTTTTCCCCCTTGCCTTGACTAAGATAGTTTCGCGTGCCATGTGCAAGCGTCATCGGGCGGCATCGCGACGGCAATATTTCTGCGAGTAATTTAGCGTACCAAATTGATTCCAAGCCAAGAAAATTAAGTTTTTTAGCAATAATTTAGCGCTGATTATGCGTTTTTAATTAAAAAACTCTTTCGGAATATTTTCTCGCTCTCTAGTGAATAATTTAACCAACTGAAAATTATTTTCCTTCCTCTTTCTTCCCCTTTCCAATATGCTATTTCACATGCACATTTGCTATTGCTCGGTGCATCCTACGAAAACGTGACCAAAAGTGCCATCACCATCGCCACGCATAATGTCACCAATGGGATTTGCGGTTCACCGACAAGCGCGTCATCTCCAGAACGTAATTGACGACAACTCGTTGTGTGACGAAGACTGGGACATCCGCAGCGGGGAACTGCCACCTTCGTCCATCGTCCGCCCGGTGCCTATCTGGTTGTGCGTCTTTCTGGTTGTCAGCTACATCATTGCAGGTGCTTTCATGTTCTCCAAGTGGGAAGAGTGGTCTTTCCTGGATTCAGCTTATTTCTGTTTCATCACGCTAACCACCATCGGTAAGTAGCTTCACAGTAGTATGAATGATGCACTTGCAATCTCACTATGGTCAGAAATGTGGTCTATTCGCATCGACTCAACAAAAGTGGTAAACTGATATTGATCAGATTAGCTCGTGCGATGACAGGCGTATCAAGCGGTGAAACGATGAAATGATGAAATGAAATGATTACCCATTAGTTGGTTACAAGCATGGTTACAGGAATCACATTCTCCGTGAGTCGGATTATTCATAAGGTACCAGGTCATCGAAAAAACCCCCTGTTGCCCACTGCTTTATCGACCCATGTTGCGGTCCCCAACAACTGCACCAATTTTGATTGATTTTGGACTTGCGGGAGAACTTTAAAGTTAGTATGCGAAAATATATGGGAATCGGAATGAAACTATTCAATTGCTTGTAACAAATTAAAAAAAAATCTCGATTTTTGCATGACAACATGAGACTTAGATTAGGAAATCTATGCAGAACAACTTTTCAACTTCGGTGCCTTTTATCAAATTTATTATACTAACAATATGATCCAGTCATACCTTTTCTATACTTTGCTATTGAAAAATATTGCTTCACGCATAATATAGCATTGAAAAAGGTCAGCAACAATCATCCACAAATCGAGAAGTGCACAAAAATAAAATTAAAATTATTTTCCTTAAGGGAATACATATTAATAAGTCGGTAAACAATCATGGGTTGGTATAAGCACACATAGATTTTTTTAAACTTGTTTTAAGGGTATCAAAATTTACATTTTCAACTGTAAACAAAATAAATCTGGTATCAAATTGCTTATTTGAAGTTAGTGGTTTGAAAAAATGGGTCCCTCGATATCTCATAACTGCTTTGACGAAATCGGCTTATGTTTGGGGTGAAGACCAGGGTTTCCAAAACTATAGATAAATCTGTATTTTTACAGATTTTTCAGAGTTCTTTAAACCAAGATGTTTTCACAGATAACAGATTTCTAGGATTTTAACAGATTTTTTTAAAATATGATCAAACATTATTAAACTTGAGATGTTTAATAACAACACATTATTTTCACTTCAATGTAATTTTATCATCCCAAACTTTTACAAATATCTATATGCATGCTTTTTTGCGGAATGAAAAAGGGGAATGAGAACTGTCAGAGGTATTTTTTGCCAATTTATGATACATATATTTTTATCTATTTTTTATCTCTGTCAGAAAAATTGCTCAATCACTTTTCAAATGACATTTTTTTTTAATGATTCAATTAATAAATTATCAACACAGATATCATCACAGATTTTCTGGACAAAAAATAAGATGAAAAGATTTTTTTTTTTTTTTTAACAAAAACACAGATTTCCTTTTGGCAACCCTAGTGAAGACTCCTTAAACAAGTCCCGTTTGCCTGACGAAGGCCGATTTTTAAAAGAGGATTTAAAAGGAGATAAAAATATTTTTATGTTTTTTCATATAAAAAAATAGTCAGTTTTGTATTTTTATATTAAAAAACAATGCAATTTCAAAATCCGGCTTCGCCATGCACACGCGATACATCTTGTGAATCTTCACCCCCAATTTCAACCAATTTCGTCCATACAGTAGTGAGATATTGTGGGGCCCTTAATTCTGTGTTTTGAGCTAAACGATTTGCAAGCTTTTCAGTGCGCTTCGCGCGTGGATGAAAATTCGGTCAACGAACATCAGTTACGAATACGTGTTAACTAATACTTATACTAATCCTAACACGTGTTTACTAATACGAATATAATTCGACTATTTTTTAAAAATCAATTTTTGATCGATTTTACATATATGTAAACCCTTAATTACATTTGGAATATTACATGACATGTCTGACATATAACTGCTGTCATCAAATAAAATAATATGCAGAAATACGTACATTTAAAATATTAAACAAAGTTTTATTGGGTGAAGTCGTGAAGATAAACAAATACATTGCTGGCCTTTTTGGGTACAAAGGCGAGATAGAGTAGATCATATTGTTAATATAATATATTTGCTTTTACCTTAGGCTAAGTTTTTCACACATACACATAATCTAGTATATACGCCTGTAGGTATGCACGGAGCACTAGGCCTAAAGATGAAAAATAATATTTTTTTTGCCCGGAAGCTGTATTGATTTGTGGTCTTCTCCAAACTTGCTTTTCATACGCACTTAGAAAAAATCATGTGAATTTAGATGCTCTGAGAGTAACATATACGAGCGTCAATTTTGACATTAATTTGAGTCATAAAAGACGCAAAATATAGCTCAATCAAACGTACTTTTCGTCCAGCAACGAACTTTTCAATCTCGGAGCACTTAATATTACATGACATTTTTGTTTACTTCTCATCTTTTATGTCAAAGACGGATTCCATCACGTGTACAATTATGTATTTCTGAGTGTGGAGTTATTCCAATCAAAGTCTCCATTAGGGTGAAAATTGAGCTATTTTTGAATTATTGGAAAGCAACTGAATAGTATCGTTCCGTATCCTAAACACTGTCCATAGGAGAAGGTGGGGTAAGACAAACCACTGCCAGTTGTATATGGTCATCTTGCATATTTTCAATATAGAATAGACTGAAAATATGTTTTTATCATTCTGAATCACCTTGTAGCTCGCAAACTTACAAACCTTAATTTTTGACTCGAAGTTGACATTTGTAGACCATGTGAATACCACAATTCACAAAGCAAATAATATATTGGGATTCATAAAAAGCTTTAGTTATCATTTTAAAGGCCCATATACCATCAAAACAATTTATTTAGCATACGTGAGATAAATTCTCGTATATATCAGTGTCGGTTGGGCTCCATACCATGAAACTTATATAAATCCTATAGAATCAGTTCAAAAACACTCTATGTTATTTGCTCTTAGGAAACTAGGCTAGACTTCTTTTCCCCTTCCCTCTTATGAATCCCGTTGCATGTTGATAAACATTGGAACACTTAAGAAACGAAGAGAAATTTCCATGATTTCCTTTATTAATGATCTTATCTCACAACGCGTAAACTCAGAAAAAATATTAGCAAGCTGTTTACGTACCATCACGCATGTTAAGAGCTCGAAATGTATTTCAACTGTGACCTCACAGAGCGAATTATGGTAAAAATGGACCAATCAATAGAATGATGAGAGTGTATAAAAATTATTGTGAGCGTATACGGAAGGAGAACACTAACTGCTAGGCTTTCATCTCGTTCAGTTAAAAACAATTTTTATTTCTTAGATATTTGTATAGACACTTAGAAATAACTAATTTTACACGTGACGAAATCCATCTTTAACATAAAAGATGAGACGTAAACAAACATGTCATGTAATATTAAGTGCTCCGAGATTGAAAAGTTCGCTACTCGACAAAAAGTACGTTTGATTAAGCTATATTTCGCTTCGGTTATGACTCAAATTTATGTCAAAATTGACGCTCGTATATGTCACTCTCAGAGCACCTAAATTTACATGATTTTTTTCTAAGTGTGTATGTAGTCTACATTGATTGACAATTTCAAATAAAACGTATGTTTTAAAATAGCATGTGAGGCAACAGCACTAATGTAAAACGGTCTACCTTGATTGACGACAAATAAACAAGTAAACAAAAACGTCAATTCAATGAATCAAAACCAACTTCTTGTTCGGTGGGGCCTTTCACGATGTAATTTTCAAAGTTGTACTTCTTCTGTGGCTGTTGATAAAGGTTTGTAACAAACAATAACCATGTGAAAATATGCTATACAGTGAAAATGTATTCCGGGGATAACCCGATCAAAAGGGCATAACAAAATTATAACACAATTATATCAATGGTTGATATTTATATCAACGTGTGTTATATTTTGATATATTAGTAAAAAGTGGTTTTTGCGAAGTTTCTCATCATATCAGAATTATAACAATGTTAGTTATAATTACTATCAATACATAAAATATGTATTAATGATTCCAAAATATAATCAGTTTCACTATTCACTATTTTCACTATTTTCTGTTTCTAAGTGACGATCATTAGAGGCATTTGTGAATAAATAGAAAGAAATGATAAGATTTTCAGATGATTGTCAAAGATTGTTTAAATCATTAACGGCTTATATCGCGAATTTCTTCAGTAATAACCGGTGTCTTGTATTCAGCTATCTCTTTGGAGTATTTCAAAAAAGATTATCTGATCTGCTGCTTCATATCTTAAAATAAAATAGGTTGTTGGTGTGCTGTCATTATTGAATAAGAAGACGCCAGTGCCATAAATATTATGTCTTTGATGTTGTCATGAAATTTTGCCGATTGATCGTAGCTCGAAGGTGAAATATGTGCGAGGTAACCTTAATTTTTCATTCATTCATTCAGAATTATTCAGAATTGGCTGATGAAGCACCACACATTATGAAGCGAATTCTGGCATATTATGGAAAAACAAACCAGGAAAATGACTCTTAACTAATTATAATGACCTACAGTTGATGAATTCCAATTAATTATTAGACTTGAGTTCAAAAAATGTGAAAAATGAATGGCATTACCATTGCCAGGAATATGGCAAATTTTATATCTATTTTATAACAACGGTTGTTATGTATGCATATTTTTGAATGCGATGGATTATACCTAATTTTGTAATAATTTTGATATAATCATATCAAAGTCTGTTTTAATTTTGTTACCACTACACGAATTTCTGTTATGATTTTTGTTATTTTAACAACTAACCAGCCAATGTTTATAGCACGTCCTGTTACATTTTTTTGTTAAATAAATAAGTCCAGTTGTTATAACTTTGTTATGCCTTGCTGATCGGGAAGACGGACCACATTTGTCGAGGTACAATTGCCACCTTTCTTATTACGTAGTGCTTTTTATTGAAACTTAAATGATGCTTTTACAGACCAAGTTTTAAGAAATATTCATTTCTCTATTCTATTACCAAGAATAAACACCTGGATATATCCACCTATGGTGAGATGTAACCATTACTACTAATTTAAATTCCGACGAATAAAACGGATTATTTTATGCTTCGGGGGGTATCAAAAACATGTCCGTGTGTGACCAATGTGGTCCTCCATGCATAATATAGCGCACCTTGAGTTTAAATTTTAGGAACTGGTGTATGTTTTTAATAGTTAACAAATAATTATTATTTGGATTATTTACCATTTCTCAGAATTATAACGTTTCTGCAAGCATTCCAAGCCGCCATCCACAACTGTATATCAGGATCCCTCAAAAATTTCAATTGGATTCAGATCGGACTTGTTCAATAGCTGATTATCTCGCTCTGAAAACTATGTCTTTGATTTCTAGGTGTCATGGATAGCAGCATTATCCTGTTGAAAAATGAACTCATTGCCCAAATCGTCATTTGGATATAATCTGAGAAATATTTGTTCAACGCAAAGAAATATTGATACAGTTTGACACTTTCTTGTTGAATGCTGAATAATGTGAACTTAGTGAATCCAGCCTTGAAATAAGCTTCATTTTACCGGTGCACTTGCAGTGTAGCTGCAAAACTTCGCGTAACATCGCATTCCAAAGAAACGAAACAACGAACAACTAGGTACTTCGTTACAAGAGAGTCATACACAGCTCATGCACTGATTTGCATTGTTTACCAACTTGAAACCGAGGGGTGACTACAATGTGTTTTCTCCAGACCTAGCTTAAAAGCATTTTATTTAACGTCACCTTTAGAAAACAAACTGATCTCTTTCATCGTACAAACAGAGAAATAAACTCTCCCTCCTACGAACGATGACTTTATGCGAAGTATTCAAACTAGCTCATTTCATCTCATATTCTGAACAACTTACCGCCCTCCTTTTTACTCACTGATGTGTCTCTTTTCCTTTCTGCCCCATAGGATTCGGTGATTTCGTCCCAGCACAGGGAGTGAAAAACGATTCAGAAGTTTCCATCGCCCTGTGTTCACTGTATTTGCTCTTCGGTATCGCCCTACTGGCGATGAGCTTCAATCTGGTGCAAGAGGAAGTTATCTCCAACGTGAAGAGCGTTGCCCGAAGGCTAGGCATTCTAAAGGAAGAAGAGGTGGACGATTGAAAAAAAAGCTTCTTCGGGGTGATTTCTTTTTCAGTCGAAGCGAAAGCCAAACCAGTGCCCGCCCCACTACAAAAGCTATTGATGAAGGAGAAAACAACATAGGAAACTGTATTTTTTTTTATCTTACTCGGAAGCATTTGTTTGTTCGATTTTCGTTTCGTTCTCGCTTTTTTCTATTCCGTTTATAAAGATCACTTTTTTATTACGATATATATTTATGTATCGATAAAAATTGTAGAATGAATATCGATTTAGGAATAAAATTTCATGAAATTAAACATGTGTGTAAGATTTATTGAATTTTGGTAGATTTGAATTTCTGTTTGACATGGTAAGTATTAATATTTTAAATATTGGGGTTACCTTTTTTAAACTGAAAACCCTAATGTCTTAAACATGAATTTTAAAGGTAGGTAAACTTAGATGACCGCACTTTTTATAGTTGCTATTCACATAATGGGGGGAAGGTCCTAGTCGGTAAAGGCACGGTATTACGAAGCCGGTAAATCTCCGGGTTAGAAATTTTCACGACTGTCTGCTACATAATACACAATTTCTTGCATTGGTTGGCATAGAAAGCTTTCAATTAATAACTCCGGACGTGCATCTAGAACGCAAAACTGAGAATCGGCAATACTCTCGCAAAAGAAGCGTAAAAAGCCTAGAAGAAGAAGAAGAGGCACCAGCTGATAGTTAAGGTGATACGGCACGTCATGCAGCAATGGCTGTCCCCACAATCATTAAATAGACGTGTTTTGGTATGCGTACGAAAGACATCTTCCTACAAAACAGTAAATTACTAATTACATACCTTAAAAAATTGGCCAAAATTGTATGAATAAGATCTGGATACATAGTTGTACACTTTCTCACCAAAATATTGCCAATTTATTCACACATTCATAATATTTGCATTAAAAAGTACGATCAGTTGATTTTGTTCTACTCTGGGCATGTAATTAAAATAACTGTTTTCACTGGCTTTCGCTTCCCAGAACCACACTAAAAATAATTACGACACCTGCTTCTACAAGCACTTTCAAGTTAATCCACTTTTAAAGATGATATTTACTTAAACAATATCATTTGCATCGCTAAAAACGCGAGCCGCGAATAATTTCGTAAGCTGAAACTGTTTTGTTTACTTTTTTTCTACATACCACTTTTCGAAGGTGTGTGTACGAATCCATCTATCATCGTATCCAGTGTTGTTAATTTAATTGAAACAAAGTGTTTAAAAACAATGTTTTTATTGCTTCTGAAGGTTCTTCAACTGTGTTCAATTTAGAAACCATCACTAATACAATTAAAAACAATTTCTTATTTTGATTTTCCTGAAAAGAAATGGAAGTAAATAAAACTACAAATCTTCTATAGAAAACATATTTGTCATTTTGGTTGCACTGGTCGAAGCCATCAGCTGATATTAAAAAGGCGGGAAAAGAGTGATGTAAAAACATAAACATACACGATAACAAAAAACGTATCTAGCGGCCAGTTCACATAGACGAGTGCACGGATGGATTTGAGTTCACTCACTCGACAAAAAGTGACACAACAGCGGGGCCCTGTTTACTAAAAATGAACACCTATGTGTTCATTTTTAGTAAACAGGGCCCCGCTGTTGTGTCACTTTTTGTCGAGTGAGTGAACTCAAATCCATCCGTGCACTCGTCTATTTACCTACTTTCGACTTTGAGTATAATCACGATCATATTCGCCTACTTTTGGGTGTAACTAACTTAATTTTGGGTAGAAAGCGAATTTTCAATTCCATAAGATTTAAACACAAGTGAATGAAAACTACTTTGACTCACTTTACCTTATTTTGGCTTCCTGCAATAAAGAGTCGATATGTGTGAAAATAACTTACTTTTGGGTACTTTTTTCTTACCATGTACCTGGAGGTTTGAGTGCTGGAATCATTTTTGGACCAAAGTGAACAAAGTGTGGCTTTGAATTAATCAACTACTATGATTACTTGACTTGGTTGGCCTTGGTGGCTAGGCGTATGATATCAAAATAATCTCGAAAACACTTAAGTTGCATTATTTTAAACAGATAAATTCTGCATGCGATTTCAAAAAACCTATGATCAAGTTGTCAGAAATTCTGCAACCTAACTAAGGGCAGCCCACGACCCACCGGTAAGTCGCGATCCATAGATTGAGAAACGGTGTTCTAGATGCACTTCCACAGTTATTAATTGAGAGCTTTCGATGCCTGTACCATCTTTGCATTAGCGTAATTGTGAGGCAAGTACAATCATGAAAAATCCCTAGACAAGACCGGGAATCGAACCCAGCCACCTCCAGCTTGGTCTTGCTTTGTAGCTGTGCCTTTACCGACTGAGCTAAGGGATGCTTAATGGAGAGCATTTCTGGGAAAAAAATATGCAAGGTAAATTTTATTTGAAACTTTATGTAAAAATTCAAATAAAGTATTCAAAACTCAAATATCTCATAAAAAAAAATAAAAAGTATCATGAAAAATGCAAACTTGTGGAATATTTAAAACCATGGACACTTGAAAACTTACAAAAAAAAAACCCTAGAACATATATATTTTGTTGTTAGCAAGCTTTTCTTAATAATGTTTTGACACAAAACGATTTGAAATTTCTCAAAGGTTTTTTTCCTGTGTAAAAAATATTTAGAAAAGCGTAATTGCAAAAAGTAAAAAAAAATTACCTAACGTTTTTGTTCTACGATTTTTGTCAAGTGTCCATGGTTTTAAATAATCGAAAGTTTTCATTTTTAATCAACTTTAATTAAAAAAAATTAAAGAAATTCTTTTTGAGATCTTTAAACCAACTACATTAAAAAAGAGATATTTTTTTTTTATTTTTTTTTTTTTATTATAGTCACTTTGACACTCTTGGTTCATTCGTGACTTGTCCGGGGGTGAGATTTAAACTCGTGACTTTGGCGTGAGAGGTATGGATGTTCACCACTAGGCCGGGGTCGCCCCAATAAGAGAAAGAGATATTTAGTTTTTATGAGTTTTTTTTTTTTAATTTTCTCTGAAAAATTAAAACAAAATAACATCCAAATTTTACCAACAAAAACAATTAATAATTTTTCCCTACAGCTTTTCTTTAGACGTGTCGGCGTTGTGAGTGCAAGTGCGTGAAAATGCATGAGATTATCAAGTGTGAGATTTGTTTGTTAGATTAACATGCAAGTTTATTCTCACATATTTACTATATATTAATAAGTCACGAATGACCCAAGAGCGTTAAAGTGACTATAATAATAAAAAAAAAAAAAAAAAAAAAAAAAAAAAAAAACTATATATTAAACGCTCTTTTAATACTTCTGGAGTAATACTTTCCAGTAGTCTGATAGGTGGACTGAATGCACACGAAAATACACATTATTGAAACATGATTTTTTTACCAACAATTTCCTTAGAGATTTATTAAATGTTTGTACATCACTAAAAAAGGAAGAGTTGAGCTTGAATTCGTTGATTAAAACCCGTATCAATTAAAGCGATTGTTTTTTAATCGCTTGCAAAAACACAGCTCATTCGGTGATTTGACGCGACTGCTCATGGGCTAAGATCTAAAAGTTCTACAGGTTGAATGATGTCTTGAACAATATCGAGGAAATTGATATTACTATGTGAGCCTTTAAGGAACAAGCGCATTATGGGATGGTGGGTTGGTAAGAGAATGTATGCTCTCAAAATGAATTTAAGTAAGTAGATAATAATAGGATTTGGTGTATATCCAATAGGAATACCTTTATGGTGTGTAATGAGAAGTATATGAACGACCAAGAATGATTGTAGAAAATGTTCGCCATATAGCCATCAAACCACAGTCGGAAATGTAAACCCTCTGTTATTTACCCTTGCTACTGGACATGGACATGTGATACCTTTCCATCTAATTTGTTTATTTCAAGGACATTGTCTACGTGCTGGTCCAACTGCGTTCGTTGTTGTTAGAAGCCACGGTTCCAAAGCCTTATTTAGGAAGATAAACATGTTTGCACTTTTTAGGTAAATTGTGTCTTTAGAAAAGTTAAGTAAGTAAGTGAAATTAGGGTGGTCCCTATGGTTATTGAATTCAAAATATCATCATTTTAGTTATTTAAGATAGACCAGCGCAATGTTGCACAATGTTATATAACAATTTATTTGACGCAACTTTGCTGAAAAAATAAATGTTGTATCTCTAACGGTTCTCGTTTAATACTGGTTTTAAAAAAGTAACTTACAGTGATCCCTAATAACAATACTTTTTATATTAACTTTTTATACATTGATTTCTCGCAAATGCCTTGTTCTAAATATCTTTGCATCGCATGTTTTTGCTAAAGTAACTACCCAGTAAGTAATAAGAGTTTATTCAGGCAAAAACAAGCTTCTTCAGCTAAAAAATAGCTTATTCAGCTGTTGATCAACTCAAATTGTTTGTTGAGTAGCTTCCTATATTTTTCTGTTGAAAAGTTATACATGATTTTTGTGGAAAAAATCCTATTTTAAAAGAAAATATGTTTAAAAAGAGCTAGTGGATTTAAATGTAATAAAATGCATTCGAAAGTTTAATTTTTTGTTTCATATTTTGAGGCCACGCTATTAGAGTATTTATTTTGTATAACTATTGGAATAAGCAAAAGTCATTAATAACTTTTCAACTATAAGAGTTAACGTTTTCCTTCAACTGATTAAAACAGTCGCCCCAGATTCTGCCTTGAGATCTCAACTTAATCGCCCTTTTCACGTCCCTATTGATGGAGTCCAGTTCATGCGTGGTTCCCAATATCGTGTTTAGAGTAGGATGCGGAAAAAATTCAGTTGACCCATATCATCATCACTCCGCATCCAGATAGAAATTCTTCCATCGCCTTTTTAATCCAGGAGGGACCCTGGTGGGGCTGAATAGCTGCATGTCCCTTGACCGGAGCTCAGTAGATGAGAACAGTCCATAATGCACTCCTGGAGTAAATGGCTCCGCGCAGTTTTTCGGGAGGGGGCAACTAATTTAATTAATTTTTTTCTTTGATGTTATGAGATGTGTACATGCTTAGTAGATAGAAAGAAAATTGATTCAAAAAGGTGAAGACGCGATCCAAGTTGATGGATTTAGATGCAACAGATGAAAAAAGATTTCTCGAAGATTGATTCGC